ACTGCAACGGCAGCTAAAACAAAGGTTCTATGTATCTTCCAGAAGCGGTTTATAAATGAGCGCTGGGAGAGCGCTGCGATGCACTGAGCACATGCACTGGTGCTGTGTCGGGCAGGGGTTCACAGCAGGCAGCTGAGCTACTGCCAGCTTTTGAAGACATGAATGCAGTGGAGTTCAGTTGTTCCGAGTGTGTTTCCTCCTCAAAGTGAAATAACAGCTCGAGGGCCTTGCTGAGAAAATAGAGTCGCAATGCTCCAATGATAACTAACTTCGGTAACGTTGCCATCTGCTTGCTGTGAGGTGGATGTGTGGGATATTCCAGCACTACCCACCTGTGGCCTGGGTACAAGTGTCTGGATCTCAAAATGAACTGGCAAAAAATTTGTCCTGTCACCTTGATAGAGTTGCAGGCTCCCGCAGCTGTGGAAATTGAATTAGCTTGAACTCATTCACTTGATCTGCAGTGGACAACTCGGAATCGTCTGAAGCAGGAGTGTGAAGAAAGAGACCTTGCTGGAGCTGCTCAGTGATTAAGGCAAGGACCTCATGACCTGGTACTGTAACCTAGCATTTCCTACAAATGCTCCCCAAGTACTTACAAATTACTTTAGAATGAGATGATGAGAGAGGAGATCACACTATGCCAGTAATAGTCAAATTGTGAGTGGACTTACAGTGTTGGCACAAACGCTTCCAGTCTAAAGAGAGGAAATCCCAGAGGTGCTTGGCTGTGTTCTGTAGTTTATCAGAATGCTTTTGTCAAAGTTCTTCTTACTGATTTTGACTTTGAACTTCCAGAGTCTAGGGTGACCTTAAGGGAACAAGTATATACATACATATTTAGTGGAAAGTTGTGTAAATAAATGCTCTCTTAAAATGTCATTCCTGCAGTAAAATTTTACAGTGGTCTTACTGATATTCCTCCTAGTATTTTATATGCAAAATATAATTTTCTGATTATTTTTCTTTGCAAGAAAATATGTTTATTCCTGACTTTTTTGGAATTAAATAATCACTGGTATAACACAATGAGTATTTAATGCAGATCAGTATTTTATGGAGACGTTACACCCAACTGTGCTCTGATCCGGTACAGATACAATAACCTCAGCTTACTTGTAGTGTTCTGGGGTCCTTAAAGGCACATCTTTCTCTAGCAATTAAGAAATAATTAAAAATTATTCTTTGACAAACTTACGTATTTCCTTACCTGTGGAAATGTTACCACACTGGTGGGGATGCTTGTGATGAGAAGCAATTTTTGAATAGCAAAAGATCTTTGTAGCAGCAGCTCAGGGAGAGCATTTACTTTCACCTGCTGTGTATAATATAGCAGAAATTTCTGGGGTTTTATTATATGTATTTTATAGGAATTTTTTTTTTCCTCATTTAAGTCTGTTTCTGTTTGAAATAATACTGGATGGAGTTCACAGGGCATCATACAGCATGTAGGGCAGATAAAGGAAAACAAGAGAATGTCTCAGTTCCTCAGTCAATTCTTAAATTACACTTTAATAATTCTTAATTATATTGTTTTTACCAGGAAGTCTTTATCAACTATTTTCCAATACCCAAAGTAGCTACTGTTATGATGCAAAGTCTTAGTGGTTTTAACGTAGGATCTACTGTTCAGTAATGAGCATGGAGATTATTGCTTAGGGTGAGCTTTTCTTTTAAATTAGGCAACTCTTGCTAAGAACCAGTCAGTTCTGTGAAAGCATCTGCACCTACTTGCCAGCGCAGCTCTGTGATAGATGTATTGTGTTTTAAATACAGAAGAGACAGAGATCAATCCTGTTAGGGACCTTTAGAAAAAGAGCTGTGATGTATAACAGTATTAAAGTTGACCCCCAGCTCACTCTGAAGGATTCCTCAGGCTACCTAGGTATTTTGTCTAATAAGCAGCATTGACTGATTTGATTCTCAACCTCTGATCAATTCCTCTCTATAAAATCAGAGAAATACAGGAGATCTTCACCCGCTTTACCGGTGTGCTCTAAGGGTACATAAGCTGTACACTTAGACGGAAGACCCAAGACGCTGACTTCTAACAGACGTTTCCAAGTCCTAAGCACTTAACTGTTGAGCCTAATTCTGAACAAACACTTCAAACGGAGTTAGAAGCGAGTGGTGTGAAATGTCCAAGGCTCTTGGACAGCACGCAGCGCTGTAGCTTTCTCACTGAGAGCGTGCGGAGAAGGACAAAACAACCCTATCAGCGTCAATGGACTGAGACTGAGCAGCTGCTGAGTGTTTTCAATAGACTTCCTGGTAACGGCTGGTACTATTTCATTTGGGCTCCTCATTTTATTTCATAAAACATTGGATGATTTTATTTGTAATACAGCAACAGGTGCAGGAAAACAAAAGGCACATTTCCTGACTGTGTCCACAAAGAGTCCATTACTTACTGGCCGACACAGTAGGCATTCATTTTGCTATGTGTATTTTTTTTAATGTGAAAACGGTAATCACTCAGAAACATAATCAGCTTATGATAAAAGACTTTTGAGAGAGGAATTTGTTTCGAGTTAGTAATAGCTCTATGCAAACAGTTTCAGTGCAAGTTAAAGTAAAGAGAGAGCTAACAGTGCTCGGTAAACACTGGTCATGCTTTAGATACAGATCAAAGCATTCCCTACAGGTGGCAACCACCATTAATCGTCATCCTGTAAACCAGAAACCAAACACAAAAAAGGCTACGCTGATAATCCCTGAAAGTACTCTCCAGCCTGGATCCAGTAAAGGATGTTGACACTCACGAGACACTCTTGCAGTTTGCCTTTACTAGTCAACAAATGAAACAGAGATAATAGCCCTGAGTGACTCTCAGTAGCCTTAACAGTAAATTCTTATATTCCCTTTCTGGTATGTGAGTCTTCAACCCATAATTAAGAAAGACTGTTTCTTGGGAATCAGAAGATGTAGTTTTGAACTCTTCAGATTGAGGGTGGGATTGAAATTACATTTCTCTCCTTTTTAGCTTCCGTTGAATTTAAAGTGCCACCACAGAATTTGTTTAAAACCGAAGTCTGCTGGGAGGTGGTAATATACTGAAAAGCTACGGGAGATTACCAGCTCTGTTTTGTTGTTCGTGAGCAACGTAATGAGAGTAGGATCACACCTCGCACGCCACGCTGGCTGCAGTCTTAGTTTCCTGTCACAGTGACCAGCAAGCCATGAGTTGGGTTTTATAAATTACTGGTTCATGTAATGTAGCTTTCAGAGCCTTGCTCTTCCCGTCTTTCTTCTAGTTCCCTAGAAAATTCTTTGTGTCAAAGACAAGAAAAAACCAAAAAGACTGCAGTGTCATGAGCACTGGGAAAGGTGACACCTTGTGCAGTGAAAACGTGCCGTGGTTACGCAGATCGAGGAAACACCACTTCTGGAAAATGTGTCAAGGCTGGCATCAACCACGGACTGCGTTTACTAGATTTTCATGGAATGAGCAGAGTTAGAATTCTATAGCAAGATGCCTTCAAATCAAAATTACTATGGATGCATTCACAGTTTCTTCTCAACAGGAACTTCCTAAGAACAAACCCATTGCTTTTAAGATGGGCACCTCAAATGATTCAAATCGAGATCCAAAGGCACATTGTCTGTGCTTTTAGAAGATTCCCGGAATGTAAATGAAAACACCTTGGTCAAGTATTTTCTTCTTTAAAAAATAAAGTTAGTTACATAGTTTATTAGTTAAATATTTAATTAAAAATTTGAAATCTTCATAAACACCATACTGTCCTTCTGAGATGTGCAGCCTTTCGGGAGCAGCAGCTCCACAACCGCTCGTGCATCAGCCGTTGCAAAACACCAGTTGCTCATCCTGTGCTGACAAGGCATAAAATCTAACAAGGCATTAAACGTGCTCAGCGAGGCAACCCTGCTAAAGGCACATCCAGGAAAAAGAAAAGGATACAGGAAAGGCTGTATCAGATTGGCACTCATCTCCACACACAAATACATTCCAGAGACGACATTCCGCGCTCACCGCAGTCTGCTGCCAGCTCTGCTCATGGCTGTTATGTCCGTTCATCTCCAGTTGAGCCACAGCCCAACTCCTTACTGCTCAGGATATTGATTTTTTTCATAAGAGTTTTCCCAGGATTTCACTCCACAGTCTCCAGTCTGATTTTCACACACGGCTGCCTGCATGCAAATATAA